TCCTCTCTGGTCTCTTTTCTCCTCCGTATGACCTTTTTCTTTCTCCCATATTCTGTTTCCATATACTTGTAGTGTCCGATGTTGGAACTACTACTAGTGTGGTAGTGCGGTGGTTGTACTACTGAGATTATGGTTGGGATTAGTTTATTCTGTAATATATGCTAGTAGTGCATCCAGTATGAGGTGTCTAGCGTTAGTATTTTGAGCAATTCATTGCTGGGACATGGCATCAGATTCTTTCAAGGAGAGTAAGTGATACATATTACTAAAATACGCAGTGCACATCCTGAAACAATGTACTGCTTCAGGTTTTTCCTGTGATGTATGTGGGTATGATGGCAGAAGATAGGATGATAACATATATGCTAGAATGAGAAAATGGGTAGGCAATAAAAAGAATTAAATATGGAAATGTAGGACTGGAAGGGATTCCGCAAAGTCATCTAGACCAGTGCCTGCGCTGAGGCAGGACTAAGTATTATCTGGACCATCACTTACATGTGTTTGTCTAACTTGTTCTTAAAAACCTCCAGTGACAGCGATTCCACAACCTCCCTAGGTAATTTGTGCCAGTGCTTAACTAACCGACAGGACGTTTTTCCTAATGTCTAAACTCAGTCTCCCTTGCTGCAATTTAATCCCATCCCATTCCTTGTCCTGTCCTGAGTGGATAAGGAGAACAATTTATCCTCCTCCTTTTTATAACAACCTTTTATGTACTTTAAGGCTGTTATGTTCCCCCCCTCAGTCTTCTCTTCTCCAGATTAAACAAACCCAGTTTTTAAAATCTTTTCTTGGAGGTCATGTTTTCTAGCCCTTTAATCATTTTTGTTGCTGTCTTCTGGACTTTCTCCAGTTTGTCCACATCTTTCCCGAAGTGTGGTGCTCAGAACTGGACACAATGCTCCCGTTGAGGCCTTATCAGTGCTGAGCAGAGCAGAAGAATTATTTTTCGTGTCTTGCTTACAACACTCTTGCTAATACATCCCAGAATGATTTTTGCCTTTTTTGGCAACAGTATTTCTTTGTTAACTCGTATTTAATTTGTGATCCACTATAGTCACCAGATTTCCCTCCCCCCCCGCCCAGTAATTCTTCCTAGGCAGTCATATCCCATTTTGTATTTGTGGATTGATAGGTGGGTGATGGCTGGAGGTTAGTAGGCACACTGTGGGATTCAAGTGAAGGATCAATTTAACACCAAATGCATACAAATAATGATGTGTAAGGGTGGAGCTGGGGAATCACCTGAAATAGGGGGACAAAGATAGAACAGAAAAGGAAGGTGATAGGGCAACCCAGGGGCAAATCACATACTATATGCAAGAGAACGAGTAGATGATGGGTATTATGGGAAAGGTCAGTGAGTTGGGAGGCTGTTGATTTTGTAGTTATCTGTTGGAAAGTATAGTGTCAACCAAGACTGCCCCCCTCTACCTGAATTTTCACTAGAGCTAATCTAAACTCCTGGTTTGTGTGTAGGCACCGAAAGAATTATTCAGTATAAAAGTACATGACACTGCTGAATCCAGATGCTAGGGAATAAAAAGGCAACTATATAATCCAAAATGTCTTTCACTTTAGGAGGTGGAAATTGGGAAAAACATTAGGTGTTGTAGTTCTTGATAGTCTACGCATCAGTCTTTCTGTATTGGGGGGCTCATATGTTTAGATGAATATGGCCATGTGCATCTGGAGTGCAAATCTGAGCTCATATTGCTCTTGTATTGTAGTTAGAGGGATTTGTTGCAGTACTGTATAGGTAGAATTATTAGGGCATAACTTTTTTCTTCTTTTTTTTCTCTGCTGGAATAAATATATATTCTGTATACTGAGAAAGATTGCATGTGTTTTGGTTTATTATTTTGTGATCGTTCTGGATAAAGACATTGGGTGAAATTCTGGCCCCACTTAAGTTACCCCCTTGTTTCCCAGGCCATGACTAATGAAGAGTTGAAGAGATTTAATATTTCATTAGAAAGATAGTAACAAAGGTCAGTTTGTTTAGTGAATAAAACCAGTCTTCCTTAAGACTTGTATAAGTTAAGGCATTCAACTTAAATACATTACTAAGTTATCTTGAGATATGAAAAACACCAAGTGAAATTAATGAGACTGGCCTGGACTTGATATTTATATGTAAGATCACAATCACTTGCAGCCAGAGAAACCTTAATGATTTTGAATGGAACCTGAACAAAGCTGATCAAGAGGAACTGGAGAGAGAGTTGGGGAATAAAGGGAGGAGAAAAGGAGAAGAGAGTGAAGGAAAAGAAGAATGTGGAAAGAGCTAGTTTCACAGGCAAAGGGCAGCTGGGATAATAGTGCAGATGCACTTGCTGGGCTAGACTGGCAATTTGAGTGGAGCTCAGTCTTAAATCTGGGTGACTAAAAGTGTTAATGGGGTGGGGGGGAAATGTCAGGAAAATAAAAGAAACTGCAGAAGGAGTGGGATAGGTGCTGGAATGTGCTGGGGGAGGTCTGGAAAATGTCCTTCAAAACCACACTTCGATGTGGCATAAAGTGAGTGCATTCCTTACAAGAAGTTTATATGGATCAGGGAGATTGATTTTGACCGGTTCAGACAGGCCGTACCAACTGCCAGTGAAAATTATTTGTAAAGGGAGTTTCTTCAGAGAGTTTTAAACTATTCCATTTGGGCCAGTGCTAAAGGTTTCTCAGCTGTGTTTATGATGCACATAGGTTTAGTTGCAAACTTTCTTTTATAGATTGGCAACTGTGAATAATCCAGTTACCAAGATAAATTAATCTTGGCTCACTCTCTGAGATTTAGGACTTGTTTTAGCCCTCAGGAAATAAAATACCAATTAACCAGTGCAGTAGGGATTATTTCTCAAGATGCTGTTATCAGCCCGTCACCATTAAAAAGATAGCAGGATCTAAATTCTGTGTCACACTACTTGATTCTTGACAAATGGTGCCAGTGTTAGTACCTTTTACTGCTGTCGTGGAAAGGGTGATCAAAGTGGTCTGACACTGCAGCATAAAAGAATATTGTATTGAAAGAAAAATATTGATAAAATAACCCCAAATTTTTGATCAAAAACATCAGAATTGTAGAAACTCCTCAACCTTAAGAACTGGATTTGTTCCTTATAACTGTCCCCTTCTCACTCTGCTAGCTTTCTGTGAAAAATCTTTCTTGCTATTTGCAGTTTGGCCATCTACTGTAATTGTACCTGACTCTGGTTATAGTTCAGAATCCTTTCTTCTCCCTACTTATTTTTCCAAAATGTTTTCTCTCTGTGGCGCCAGTTGGAGGTTACCCAAGAGTGTGGAAGATCCTGGAGAGCTTCACAATAACGCAGGTTATGATGACAGGCTGGAGGTGGCTAAAGAAATCACAATGCTTTCTTGTTCCTGGTGATTTGAGAGTGAACAGTATGAGCTTCTGCAGTTTCTTTCAGCCCTCACCCCACACATGGCTGCTTACTGCTACATGGTTGGCTATTTGGTCTGCCTGATGTTGCTGGTGCTTGCTGCATGATTATGTGGTCAGTGTCCGAAAGAAAGTGTCTGGTGTTCACTCATACAAAATTAAATATCTCTAGCAATGCAAAGAGATCACTTAATATGAAACTTCTGACAAAGCCAAGTGTGTGAAGGAGGCATCCTGGGAGTTAAGTCTAAGACCTTCACTTGAATGAATTTGAATATCTCAATCCAGCCCATGCTTAAAGGAAGAAAGATGTTTATTGTTTGCTCAGGATTGGCTAGTGCTGTCTGATGTGGAAACTTTAGATGGCTGGAAAAGAAATAGGCCAAATAATGTAAAAGAATCAAAATGGCTGGTAGGGATTTAAATATTGAATGAATTCAATTTAAAATATTTAATAAATTATACTAGAACCTAGTATGACTTGCACTGGCTAGGAGTGAGAGATGATAATGTGTTCTAGAAAAGCTGAAAGAAAATAGAGTATAGACATGTTTTGGAGTTGCCCAAGAACAACAACAACAAAAATAAAAATGTTCTTGCAGCTTCTGTTATGTATCCTGGCAGGCTGCTTGTTACTATGGAGCATTTATTATGAAAAGGTCAGGTGGATTTCATTTAGTTTATTTGTGGGGTAAAAATTGTCAGGAACAAAGTTTGCCAGGAGGAATAGATCTGAGATCTATCAAGCTGCATCTTTTGATAACGTATATTGTGGAGAAGAGTAAAATAGATATAGAAGAGTTCAAAGAAGTGTGGGAATAGTTTCTAAATCATATTACAAAGCAAGGGAAAACTCAAAACCAAATCACCAAATATTTGAAGTGAATGGATCCATGTTATCAAGTTCTAAAACAAAAATTATATGAATTCTTAATTTTTTTTTTTAAGGCTAGAGAAGCCAGAGGTTGTTACCTTAATTATTCAAATTTGCTAAAAAGATACAATTAAAAGAGAGGATTTAACTTTATGGAGATATAGAAATGTTCCATTTGATGATCATCATAAACTACCCAGTGTCCCCTACAGTGAAATTAATTCACAAAGTCTCAGTATTATTCTGTTCACCAGAAAAAGATCTCTTGTGGTTGTTAGCTTTACTTAATGTGAATGTTGGCAAATTGGCTAATGAAATCATCTCCTGTTTTTTCTAGGGAAGGTTGTGATTGGAGTTGAGAACGAGATGAGCCAATCATGAAGGACTATGACCATGGTATACTTACATCCACAATAAGCCATATATAAGCCCTGTGTATGACACCATATGATGGAGGTGGTCTGGGAGTCCGATAATGACACTTGTGACACAGGTGAGGAGCATTCAGATGATTCCAGTCATTCCTCTGAGCGGGTGGGTCGCAAATCTAGCCTCCAGCTGGAGGTAGACTTAGACTACTCTCAACCATGCAGTCCTGGTTGTAGCCCTGCTGGACCTTCAGGTAGGCAAGAACTCCCTGTAGAATTGCAGTGTGAAGATGAGGAAACCTATGAGACCTACTACCAGAAGCGAGGCGAGACTACAGTTGGGGTCTTTGTCACCTCCAACACCAATTTTGACCTGCAGTGTGAAAATGAGGATCTGGAGTTCTACTCCTCTGAGGAACCTCAGGGAGGGTTAAGTGAGGATGATGAAAAGATCATTCTTGTTGATGCTTTTGATGAGGAGGACCTGGAGCCCATCACTGGAGAAGCTTTGTCTTATAGGTGCAAGAAGTGTGGTGCCTCTTTCCACGATCTGGGTGAATTACAAGAACACAACCAGATCCACCTGACAGAGAATTCATACCAATGCCCCATCTGCGGCAAAGAGTTCTTCCATGCTGCGAACTTGCGAATGCACAAGCTCATTCATTCTAGTGACAGGCCACACAAGTGTCCGGAGTGTGACAAGGGGTTCATCCGTACAGCTGATGTTTGGAGGCACCTACGCAATGTGCACAAGATTGAGCGTTCCAAGGGAGTTTTGGGAAATGGTATGGTTAGCAACCGAGGGTCAACATTACACCAAAACAAGCATGGCCATGGGGACTCTGACCAGCAGTGTTCAGAAAATAAAAAGCCCGCGGGAGAAGAGTCTAAACCTTACATCTGTCCAGTGTGTGGCAAAGGTTTCCGTAAACCTAATCTGCTGTCCAGACACAAGGTGATCCACCGACAGGATAAACCACATAAATGTCAAGAATGTGGGAAGTCCTTTGTTGAGCGGCTCAAGTTGAAAAGGCACCAGCAGATTCACTCTGGAGAGCGCCCTTTCTACTGTGAGGAATGTGGAAGGACTTTTACACAGCTGGTAACACTACAGTGCCATCAGCGGATCCATACTGGAGAAAAACCGTATTCTTGTGCTTACTGTGGTCGTCGCTTCACAGTATCTGCCACTCTAAGGAAGCATGAGCGCACGCATAAAGTGGACAAATCGTAGTATTTAGGGCTCCATGGTTGTGGTCACCATTGTTTCCTGTTACCTGAATGAGACCTGCTCAAGACTGCTAGAGAAACTACCCCAACCTATACACACAGGTCAGTCCACAGCCCCCTTCTCCAACGATGGCCAGCATAACTCTAATAAGAAAACATTGCCTCATGAGGAACTCCATGATCTCCACAAGTAGTCTGTGTTAACCGGCCCTGCACCTGTTCCCTGGAGTTACAAGAGGGGAGAGCTCAATTTCCATTAAATAATGAGGTCAGCGAAGTCAAAGGATATCCATCTCTACCTCGATATAACGCTGTCCTCGGGAGCCAAAAAATCTTACCGCGTTATAGGTGAAACCGCATTATATTGAACTTGCTTTGATTCACCGGAGTGCGCAGCCCCGCCCCCTGGAGTACTGCTATATCCGAATTCGTGTTATATCGGGTCGCGTTATATCGAGGTAGCGGTGTATATGGAAGTGGAGTTCCTGGAAAGTACTGGGCATTGTCATAACTAGCTGGACTTTTCTGCGGGTGCATCGAGTTGAGCTTTTCTCTAGGACTGATGGGTTAAATGGAACCCTTCTGCAGTCACAGACTCTGAACTGATTGTGACTGCTCTCCAGCACTTGATTTGGAGATGTCATTTTTTGCCTATGCTAGGACTGCACAGTCCATTTAATCAGAGCTGGCCCATCCATACCTTCTCTCTGTTCATTCTGTCATGTTTTCTAATGAAGTATCTTTATTTTGAAGAGAGGGATCATGTTGGTTGTAAAAATCCAGGACTTTAATAAACTAGATAATTAATTAACAGTTGCATCCTTTGTGCACACACTTGCCTATGGAATTATTGATCCTTGATGTGCTTACATAACCCATGTCCTATATATGTATATTAATGAATGGAGAGAGGCTTGTATGGCCCACTGTGATAGTGCATATGAGTATTGTAGGTTGCCTGTATGGATCTGTGCCACTTGTGGCTAGGTGGAGAGCCTTTCCCCTTCCTAGCCACTGCATTACAGTAAGAAATGTCAGAACATTTAAAATCAGAAAATGCTAATAAAAATAAGGAGAATACTCCTGGTTTTTACACTGTTAATATTTAGATTTAAGGTTTCTCACTCTAGAAGATACTTCATTAGATGCTAAGCAGTATCTGTCTTTATTAGAAATTCTAGGGCATTTTTAAAGGGATGGTGTCAACTTAATTTTCTTTTCTAAACTGACTAATTAGCCCCCCTCACCAAAATTTCAGCTACTGAACCCTTAAAAAAGCATGCCTTTTAAATTTTTGACATGTTTTAAATGTGGTTTCTGGTTTGCTATGTTTTTTTGGGGGGGAGAAGGGGGGTTCTCCCAGAAGGGTCTTTTGGGTTGGCCTAAGAGGAACACCTCTCCTCCTCTATCCTTTTACTACACTTGTTTGCTGACTGTTCTCTTTTTTCATTTCAGCTCTGCTTCTGCTAACCACCCATTTTTTTTCAAAGCCCTGAGAATGTTGTTCACAAAAACAGTGAACCTGACTCTATACTTTGGGCATTTGACAACACTTTGTGTAAACTAAACAAGTGTGAACAATCATTTTTAAGTCATATTAATCTTGGGAGTTACTTGTAACTACAGTAAGTACAAAATTGTTAACTGTAATCATTATTTCAAGTTGATAGTGTCCCATTAATCACTCAGCTAAGCAGTTGGTACCATTATGTAGGGCCTATTATATATCTTAAAAATAGGTAGGGATGATAATGAGAGCATGTAATTGATGTCCCTTTAAGCCACACCTGTGCTTCCTCTGCTTGAAACATTGGATATGCCAACTGCTCTTGTAGCTGGCTATGTTATAGACTCATAGACTTTAAGGTCAGAAGAGACCATTATGATCATCTAGTCTGACCTCCTGCACAACGCAGGCCACAGAATCTCACCCACCCACCCACTCCTGTAACAAACCCCTAACCTATGCCTGAGTTATTGAAGTCCTCAAATTGTGGTTTAAAGACCTCAAGGTGCAGAGAATCCTCCAGCAAGTGACCCATACCCCACGCTGCAGAGGAAGGCAAATAACCTCAAGGGCCTCTGCCAATCTGCCCTGGAGGAAAATTCCTTCCCAACCCCAAATATGGTGATCAGTTAAACCCTGAGCATGTGGGCAAGACTCACCAGCCAGCACCCAGGAAAGAATTCTCTGTAGTAACTCAGATCCCACCCCATCTAACATCCCATCACAGACCATTGGGCATATTTACCTGCTAATAATCAAAGATCAATTAATTGCCAAAATTAGGCTATCCCATCATACCATCCCCTCTATAAACTTATCAAGCTTAGTCTTGAAGCCAGATATGTCTTTTGCCCCCACTACTCCCCTTGGAAGGCTGTTCCAGAACTTCACTCCTCTAATGGTTAGAAACCTTTGTCTAATTTCAAGTCTAAACTTCCTAATGTCCAGTTTATATTCATTTGTTCTTGTGTCCACATTGATACTAAGTCTAAATAATTCCTCTCCTTCCCTGATATTTATCCCTCTGATATATTTATAAAGAGCAATCATATCTCCCCTCAGCCTTCTTTTGGTTAGGCTAAACAAGCCAAGCTCTTTGAGTCTCCTTTCATAAGACAGGTTTTCCATTCCTCGGATCATCCTAGTAGCCCTTCTCTGTACCTGTTCCAGTTTGAATTCATCCTTCTTAAACATGGGAGACCAGAACTGCACACAATATTCCAGATGAGGTCTCACCAGTGCCTTGTATAACGGTACTAACACCTCCTTATCTCTTCTGGAAATACCTCGCCTGATGCATCCCAAGACCGCATTTGCTTTTTTAACGGCCACATCACATTGGCGGCTCATGGTCATCCTGTGATCAACCAATGCTCCGAGGTCCCTCTCCTCCTCTGTTACTGCCAACTGATGTGTCCCCAATTTATAACCAAAATTCTTGTTATTAATCCCTAAATGCATGACCTTGCACTTTTCACTATTAAATTTCATCCTATTATTATTACTCCAGTTTATGAGGTCATTCAGATCTTCCTGTATGATATCCCGGTCTTTCTCTGTATTAGCAATACCTCCCAGCTTTGTGTCATCCGCAAACTTTATTAGCATAGTCCCACTTTTTGTGCCAAGGTCAGTAATGAAAAGATTAAATAAGATTGGTCCCAAAACCGATCCCTGAGGAACTCCACTAGTAACCTCCTTCCAGCCTGACAGTTCACCTTTCAGTATGACCCGTTGTAGTCTCCCCTTTAACCAATTCCTTAACCACCTTTCAATTTTCATATTGATCCCCATCTTTTCCAATTTAGCTAATAATTCCCCATGTGGAACCGTATCAAATGCCTTACTGAAATCGAGGTAAATTAGATCCACTGCATTTCCTTTGTCTAAAAAAATCTGTTACCTTCTCAAAGAAGGAGATCGGGTTGGTTTGGCACGATCTACCTTTTGTAAAACCATGTTGTATTACCATTGACCTCAATGTCCTTAACTACTTTCTCCTTCAAAAATTTTTCCAAGACCTTGCATACTACAGATGTCAAACTAACAGGCCTATAGTTACTTGGATCACTTTTTTCCCCTTTCTTAAAAATAGGAACTATGTTACCAATTCTCCAGTTGTACGGTACAACCCCTGAGTTCACTGATTCAATAAAAATTCTTGCTAATGGACTTGCAATTTCATGTGCCAGTTCCTTTAATATACTTGGATGAAGATTATCTGGGCCCCCCGATTTAGTCCCATTAAGCTGTTCGAGTTTGGCATCTACCTCGGATGTGGTAATATCTACCTCCATATCCTCATTCCCATTTGTCATCCTACCATTATCCCTAAGCTCCTCATTAGCCTCATTAAAGACTGAGGTAAAGTATTTGTTTAGATATTGGGCCATGCCTAGATTATCCTTAACCTTCACTCCATCCTCAGTGTTTAGCGGTCCCACTTCTTCTTTCTTTGTTTTCTTCTTATTTATATGGCCTTAGAACTTTTTACTATTGGTTTTAATTCCCTTTGCAAGGTCCAACACTACATGGCTTTTGGCCTTTCTCACTTTATCCCTACATGTTCTGACCTCAATAAGGTAGCTTTCCTTGCTAATCCCTCCCATCTTCCACTCCTTGTAGGCTTTCTGCTTTTTCTTAATCACCTCTCTGAGATGCTTGCTCATCCAGCTGCTATTATGGGGAGAGATTGTGGGAGCAGGGTGATAAGGCAGGTGGCTTCCAAGGCGTTGCCTGCTATTTCCCCCATGGTTTGTAGGAACTCTTTGCAGTGAGTGGTGGAATAGATCAAGGTGATGAAGTAAAAATGCCCCCAGTTTTCCTGTCTTCTTCCCATGCCCTCCCTTGTCTAGTCTGTTGCCCACCTAGTTGAAAAATGTGATTTTAAGGTGAAAACTTTAGCAGTAAAATTCCTTATAAGCTTATATTATACATTCATACTCTAAAAATGCATTGTTTTAGAGTTTATTTCAGCTCATCACTAGTGGGTTTGTTATTCTAATTGCCATGAATAGTTATGGATGGAGACAGTGCCTGTGATGAAAATATTTTCTACTGTCCTCTTGCTCCAGCTCATGGAGCTACCCTCCTTCACAATACGTGTTCTTTCCCTTAAGGTTGAAGTATGGATCTAGCTGCAGTATGCAGGGATGGTGTTTTTTTTTAATGAAAGACTATTTTTTATATACAAACAGTGTATGTATATATTTCTGTAGTGTGAGGCATTTGTATTTGTCTACTGGGCTCCCTTAGATTTGAAGAAGGGTTGCACAAAATAATGTCTCCTACCTTTGAATGGCTTTGGTTGCCATGGGTAGTTTTCAGCATCCTGTTTGGATTTTTACAGAATGAAAATACAAATGTTTAGGGTCACCAGAAAATATTACCCTGCAACAGTTAATGGCCCTAAACGTTGAAAGGGGGAGACTAAATGCAGTCATGAAAACTGGTCTCTTTGAAGGTTTTATTTTCATCCAGAAATGCCACATCTTTGGTTGAAGTGCTATTACATATGGACAAAGGGATTACTGTGAGTTTGAGTGAGGTTTCCCTACTGATAGTCATCCAA